AAGTCAGTGGTTCTCAACCTTCCTAATGCCGCTACCCTTTAATACAGTTCCTCATGTTGTGGTGACCCCCAATTTCATTGTTACAAATTGAACATAATTAAAGCATAGTGATTAATCACAAAAACAATATGTAATTATATCTGTGTTTGCCGATGGTCTTAGGCGACCCCTGTGAAAGGGTCGTTTGACCCCCAAAGGGGTCGCGACCCACAGGTTGAGAACCGCTGCACTAAGTGAAGAGTCCCGCAAGCACCTCCCTGTCAGTCCCGCCGACATGCCGTAGAGGTGAGGGAACCCCGGTGGCCTGACCCGCGGAGGACCCCCCAGGTGGCGGTCGGCACGATTTCCCACCTGCTCCGCCCAGGCAGATGGGCGCTGCTGGACCACCTGCCCGCACCTGTGGCTGCTGCCAACCCTCGGCTGTCCGCACCTGGAAAAGGCTCCGGACTCAGGGCTCAGACTTCTGTCCCCAGCGAAGGTCACAGCGGCCTCCTGCCGTCCTTTCAGGTTATGAGAGGAGCATGTGTTCATTCAATGATCGTGTTGAATCCCATCAAGACCCGTGTCCTCTCCGAACCTCAGTTTCCTCATCCGTGTAAGATAGTAACACTGATTATCCGCATGTCTGTACCCGAAACTCCTCTTAGAGGATGAGGTGCCCTGCTCGGTGCGCACCATGGTGAGGAGAATTACCACGTCCTGAGGACCAATTCCGTGCCAGATACTCTCCTGGGCGCTGAGGACGCAGCCATGAGCAAGCACAGTGCTGCCTGGCGAGCCTGGAGGTCCAGTGGGAAAGGAAGCACGATAAATCCCTAAAGGGCTTGAACTTGACCTGAAGGGGAGCAGGGAGCCATGGTGAGGTTTATGCCTGGGAGGACAAGGTCAGACACCTGTGCACTCAGACCAGCTGCTCAGGATCCACAAGGAGGGCTACCTGGAGGAGGCCCCCTGGAGGCACAGACAGCGCTAAGGCTGCACCCTCATCTAGCGGGGGATGAAGAGGCCTCGGGTGAGCCACAGGGATATGAACATGGGACAGGGAAGAATTCCTAAAGCTCGAGTGATTGTACATTTTAATCTATTTTCAATCTCTCCACACATTTACCCAGTTCCCCATCACTCCTACCCGCCCACTCAGAACGGGGCAGCGGGGCCAAGGAGATCATGGGCTGGGAGATGACACCGCCCTGCTTGCAGGTGGGGAAACGGAGGCTCTGAGGCTGGCCCACGGCCCCACTGAGCACGCAGAAGACGGGGGTGCGAACCCAGATCTGTCAGGCCCTGGGCTTGCTTCACCGTGTCCCCCAGGAAGCGAACGTCCTGGCAGCGTTGACAGTCTGGTGACCAGAAAGAGCTGAAGTCTTTCCAAGTGGCAGGCCGGGCACAGCCCTTGTCATGACCTGTGACCCCTGCCTGGACACCCCCTGCATCCCTAAACCACACGGGGGCCTTGGGGAGGGAGAGGTGTTGGTCGTCAGAAGTCAGGCTTCCCACGGGAGAAGCATTTAGCAAACATCGATGCAAGAAGGAGTGAGCTCCAGACGTGGAAGAGACATCAAGCAAGGCCATCTGCCCCAGCTCCCCGCTGTACAGATGGGACACAAAGCCCAGAGAGGGTGTGTCTAGTCCAAACGCACAGGGAGGCAGGATGTGAGCCCAGCCTCCTCACTCCCCGTCCTGCACTCTCTGGCCCTGGCTGCACACTTAGCCGAGTAAAGGTGTATAAGCCACGCCGCCCCCTGCTCCAGGAAGCCCTCCAGGATTGCCAGGTCTCCTGTCCCTGAAGGCCGGGCCTCCCCAAAAAGCCTGGACTTCAGTGTCGGGCAGACCCAGGGTGGGGTCCTGGCTCCATCCCTCACTGCCTGTGCGCCCTACATCCGGTCATGTCACCCGAGAACAGCCACAGCAGAATGCCTACATTCCTCCCCTCCAATGCCGCTAACCCACATCACCGCCTTCGCAGGGCCGGGAAGCACGGGGCTCCGTCGGCCTCCACGCCTCACAGCAGGGCCATCCCTCTGCCCCGCCCTCCCCGTGAAGCTCCCTCTACCCCAAGGTCAAGTCTGTGCAGAGAGGAGGTCAACCCGGAGCCTCGACTCCCACCCCACCCTTCCACTTCAGGTGCAGCTCGGCTCTGCCCAACACTGACCTTTAAAGTGGAGCCTGACTCCTCCCCTTCCGCTTCCTGTCCCCAGCCTAGCCCCGCCCCCTGGCCACACCCAGCACCTGCTTCCGGCCACACCCTGCCCCCCGGCCACACCCAGCACCTGCTTCCTGTCCCCAGCCTCGCCCCCCCCCCCTTGGCCCCCCCCACCCCCCCCTCCCGCCCCCCCCC